CCCCTGTCCCCCCCCCATGTCCCTGCACCCCCCCAGCCATGCAGCAGGTCCTGGACAACCTGATGGGGCTCCCCGGCACCCCGGGGGCCGCCGACCTTGACCTCATCTTCCTCCGCGGCATCATGGAGAGCCCAATAGTGAGGTCCTTGGCCAAGGTACGGTGGCGTGGGGGTGGCACCGCGTCCTCCCCGGCCCCCGCCGCGGGTGGCAGCGAGCGGGGCACGGGGGGGATGGGTGTGCACGGCTGGGTGTGCACGGGTGGGTGCACAAGTGTCTGTCTGTGTGCACGCACACGCGTGTGGATGCATGCAGATGTACGTATGTGTCCATGGATGCACGCGTGCGTGGATGCATGGATGTACGCTTGCACGCACGTCTGGTCGCATGTCTGGTCGCATGCAGATGTATGTATGCATGTATGTGCGTGCATGGAGGTATGCTTGCACATGCATGTGGTTGCATGCAGATGTACGTGTGCATGTATGTGTGCGTGGATGCATGCATGTGTGTGTGTGGATGGCTGTACGCTTGCACACGTGTGTGCGCATGCATGTGTGTGGTTAAATGTGGATGTATGTATGTGTGTGGATGAATGTACACTTGCACACGTGTGTGCATGCACGGATGTATGCTTGCATCCGTGTGTGTGCATGCATGTGTCTGGTTGCATGCAGATGTATGCATGTGTGGGGTGCTGGGGGTGTTGCTGTGTGGGCACATTTGCACATAGATGTGTGTGCATGCATGGAAGTGAGCGTGCACATTTGCACGTGTGCGTGCCCGTGCGTGTGAGGCTGCCATGTTTCGGCGCGGGGGCGAGGGCAGGGGAGGGTGCTGGGTGTGCACTGCCCCTCGGGGTGCGTGTGGCTGGGGGTGGTGGCGTGCAAGGTTGTGTGTGCGCACGTGTGCGTGTGTGTATCACCCTGATGGGGTGCGTGTGGCTGGCCCCACGTTCCGTGTGTGTACTGGTGGGTGGGTGTGTATTTGCACATGCACCCAGTTGTGCAACGGCACACGCACACCCGGGTTGGTGTGGTGATGTGCGTGCAAGGGCGTGCGCACGCATGCACAAGCGTGCAGTTGAGGATCTGCACGGGCGTGCATCCAGAGGGGCAGGTTTGCACATGCGTGTGCATGCAGGGCGCTGTGCCTGTGCAAAGGGCATGGGGGTGTGTGCTCATGCATGCATGCGCTCATGCATGCGTGTGCTCGTGCGTGTGCACGCCGGGCCGTGCCCCCCCCCCCCCCCCCGGGGGGGGGCCCGCGGGGGGGGCTTTGGGGGGCGGGGGGGG